TATATATAAATCAACGAGAAAGAATTGTCGAAGAACACGATGTGTTAAATCAAATGCGCAGCCTGCGATCCTGTGATTTTTTTTGCGACCGCCAGCTCATAGTTGAAAATCATATTTTCTATTTTATGCAATCGAAACAATCATTATACGACCCGAAGGATTTTACCTACTTCTAAAAATGATTCTCTGAAAATTATCTTTAAAATAGGTTGCGCATCACTGCTAGATAATAAATTATTAAATCGCCAATCGACTTGCGGAACGTATTTCGGCAGCCGCAGATAAATCAAATAAAAAAGAAGAAAGGAGGACGCACACGCGAGGAAGAGATGGAATAAACATTGCCGGGGTGCAAAGCGACGCGATGGACGCGGTGCAACCGACGGCGTCGAGACGCAAGCGCCCTTTGGTGTCGTCGCGACGGAGGGAGATCCGCTGGTTAGGGGGAGGGAGACATATCTTGGGTACCACCTCGAAGCCGGCACGATGCAGTCAGTCGTGCCTCGGGGTAGTTCGTTTGATGTACCTTGTTGCTCGTCGGTATCAAGATGTGCTCTTCTCGCGGTGGTGGCGCGGACGCAGAGTGATTACGCACTCTCAGCAGTCGGCACGTGGTCGGTGATAGGCGTACGTGATAGCGCATTTTTCGATATTATCTCATTTAAAGAGGAAAAATGACATTAAGGAGGCACGAAGTGCCGGGACGATCTCGGACCCGGTAGCGGTCGATCTACTCTGTTCCGTCGCAGATATTTCGATAGCGTTTCAGTAGGCTAAGTGAAGAAAAGAGGACGACGCTGTTTTTAGCGATTTTATAACGCGCATCGTCGCGTGGAACGTCGTGAAAACGAAAAGAAACTGTTTCTTTTTTATGTTTTGCGAGGAGGCACGCAGGACGCGAGCTGTCAAGAAGGCGTCTAACGGGGATGAGAGGATAAAGAGACGCGGAGTCGCCAGTGATATCGGCCGGTTGATGGAAACCGAAGCCGAGCGTCGTCGCTGACACAGCATTGTCGTCCACACAGTGAGCGCGCCGCTCTGAGAAAAAGTAGCGGTCTCGAAAACAGACAAGTTCGGTTATTTAAGAGTTAGATGTTTTGGAACATTGGAAATAAGAGTGCTATCCCATTAAAGGTGTGTATAGATTATTTAAAAATTATTTTAGACAAATGTTGAAAATTATTTGGATATCACTTGATTATGAATTACTTTTAATTTCGGCATTTGAGTATCATTGGCATTGTAATGTTTTTTAATTATTGAATTTTTAATTGATGTAAATTAAAATTTAGAAATCTTAATTCCTCAAAAAATTTCATTAATTTTTAATTAATAAAATTTGTAAAACTTATTCTTAAGAAAGATAAAATATTTAATTCTACCATCGTAAAGTTAAAATCTTTCGAAAATTTTATTAATCTTTCGATATAGTTATCGACTTTATCCAAATGATGCACAGAAACTTAATGACGAACTCATAATTTTACATAATGAAAAACTAATCTCGGCTTTTTGAAGTGAAATTATTGCTCTTGTTGATTACTTCGATTTAAAAGATAAGTGACCAAAATTAATTTATTATATTTTCAAGTTTGGGCTGTATTACCGAAGATAAACGATAGCATGGTAGCAATTTGCAAAAATAATGTGATTTTAAGTACGTTGATTAGTAATTCACTCGTGACGTATATACGGCTGTTCGTTAATGTACGATAATTTAATTATAAGTGATATCGATTATATTTGTACTCGCGTAGGCCTGGAAAATTAGCATCATACGTACATGTCGACGAACACTAACATTTTTTTTCTCTCGGCAGTATATTCGATTTAACTCGGTGCGATGAATTCCTTTGTCTGCGATTTCGTTCACGTGGGTGTCTTTAGGTCGGAGAACTGGTGACGTAACTGAGAGCCAATTAATGCTAAACAGTATAAATATTTTTGATAGAATCGTATTTGCTTATTTTTTAAGTTATTTCATAAATAACATGATTGAACTCAAAAAAAGAAAAGAAGAAACAACGAATTTAATTTATATTCGTCAATAATTAATTTTAATTTATTTTTAGAAAACTTATAATATCTTGTTGCAATAATGCATTATTCTATATTTTCGCAATTAAATATATATGTATTTTGTGTATTCTATTCAGGATTAATTTTTTTCAACTGCAATTCATTGATGTGCGCTTATACATATATATTAAAAAATTGATTACTTTCCTTTTTTCTCATTTATATATAAAATTTATAAATTTTCTCTCTTTATAAATTTTATATATAATTTATATTTTTATGCAAACATTTATTTGTATAATTGTTAAATGAATAACAAAGTTGTCATTGTTATTATTATTCAATATTCTGTATTATATTTTTTACATTGCCCCGATATAAAATATTTAACAATTTGTTTTCTTTTTCAATACGTCACTTTTATCATTGATTTTACCATTGAACTTTGTCGGATTTCAAACTGTAGAAATGAAAATAACAAGAAAATCTTTATGATAAATCTTTATGACTTCTACGTACGACGTATATTTTGCGTTATTCTGCCGTCGAAACATTTTACAATAAAAATCATGTGAAACTACAATACTTTATTAAACATGACGCAACATTGAAACAAAAAAATTTTGAATTTTTTCTATTAAAAAAAAATTTGCTTACACAGAATAATACTATATTTAAATATTAATTATTTGTTTCAAAAGTTCATATATCCGCAAATCATAAGTTTATTATTATCAAATTTATTCAAAATATATTATGAATTCTAATAAATTATTATATACCATATATAATATTTCAATTAAAATATTATTATTAAATTCTAATAAATTTAATTTGCTTGTTATATAAAGTCGTTTCTTCGATAAATTTCTTCATATAATATTCTTCATAAGAAAATAAATCCCTGTTTTGCATGATAATAAGTTTTTCCCTCTCTCTCAATCTCTTTCTGAAAGTAATAATATTTAAATAAGTATATTTAAGACTACCATCGAGAAAATATTCTTTGTTAAAGATAATAGTTACTTAAATTAAAAAAGTAAATTAATTACTTTTCTTAGCAGTAGAATGATACTTTTCTATGTACAGGACTTAATTAAGTGACAAATTCGGTGCGATTATAATGTAAAGCGAAACTTGACGCATATTGTGAAAATATATAAGTTTAATTCAGAGATAAACAATGTCTACAGCAGATATTTTTTTCTACGAGCAAAATAAAAAAATGTTAATAAAATACAGCACAGCATTTATGAGCGATTATGCATTTAATTCCGTTAAATGTATGCCAAAATTTTGCATATTATTATGTTCTATCGATCTCTGGTTATATATGGTACAATAAAATTCATATTACATCGTAAAAATTATTACATGGAGATTATTGTGTTCTCGCACGTGGCGCTCGTTACATTTTATAAACATCCATTCAGAAAAGTCAATCGTTGAACGACGCGACACGAAGACGGCGGAGAATCACGAACAAAACGCTGCTTTCGCGAGATGATTTACGAGAGAGAAAGAAAGAGATACTACAGTTCCGGCAGGAAGTTTCTCTCGCACAATTCAGAGATACTTAACTCTATAAACGAACGGGCACGACTTGACCTCTCTGAGGTACGGCGAGTGCAGAGCTTGCGGCGACGTGCCGTTTTCTTCGAGTTTCCTCCACGAACAAAGCTCGGACAATTTAATTCACCGTTGCACACTCGGAATAGTCCGGATTTTCCCGGTTCGCTATTTATTGTTTTCAAAACGATCTTGTTGACGACGCATCGTAAGCGGATATCTTTCTTAACGATTATGGCGCGTAATATAAGGATTTATTTAAACAATTCAAGAGAGAGGAAATTGCATACGACGATAAGTGTCTATTATTATCATAGAGAACGTCTTTGAAAGAAAAATTTTATCGGGAAAATTGCTTCCGTGCTTGAAAACTATTTATAGAATTTTTAACTGTACACTTTATTCGCCTATCTTTTTACAATGTATTAATTTGACTCCGATATTTGTTACTTATGCATTAAGGATGACCTAATTTTATGATTGAAACGTCTGTAATTGATGATTGATACATACAGGGTGTCTCACAACTATCGCATTTTCTCTTAAGAACATATTCTTGAAGTAATTTTGAGACAAAAATCCTAATACAAAAATGTCGAGACTACAATAATTTTTTGAATTAACAAATTATCTTTAACCAATTATAATTCAAAAACTGTAATCTCGACATTTTTGTATTAGAATTTTCATCTTTACCTCAAGGATACGTTCTTCAAATGGAAATGTGGTAATTGTGAGATGCTCTACATATTATATTTAAATTACACACGTTTAATTATGTCGGCTCTCATTGGCGTTATTTATCTTTTATTGATTTAATCTTTGGAGCCTTTTTCAATTTTAATTGTTAGAATTTTTAATTTACATAAAAATATTAGAATTTTATACATATTTTTATATACATATTTTATATACAAATTTAATACGTGAGATATACAAGTAACAAAATGTATTATATTTTAACACAAAATTTATTTAAAAAAGCTATATAAGACGATCTTTTCCATTTATAGTAAAAATCTTCGATACGTTTATCAAATTATAACGGAATAGCATAAAAGTGTTTGAAAATTGATTTGTTTCAGTTTCAATCAAGGTTAGGTAAGTTAATATTTTTTTTTAACTGAATAAAGTGAAAGTTAATGGTTTTACAAAATTAATAAAGTTA